ATAGTAGCAATAAATATCGTTTCGTCACATGATTCTATAAAACTTATTCTGCAGTTCAACAATTCAATAAATATTTCTTTCTAATGTCGATAAATATCGATGAATTCTGAAGTTTAGTCATAATAAATGAGCTGCAAATCAAAGGCACTAAATATTGTTTAGTTATCTAGATTACGTAGTGGTCGATTTAGATTCTTGATAAGAGTGATGCATATAAATAAATTATATGAGTATGGATTTATGACCGGAATTGCCAGAGGTAGTAAATGTTGCGCCTTTGTGCTGCACCTTAATATTCACTTCGATTTAACGTCGTCTCTCATTGAGAAATCTTGCCTTTAATGGGTACTATCAAAATAATACTATTAATTACCCTAGCAATTACTTTTGTTTAAGCTCTTTCAAAGCGCATCTCTCAGTCTATCATTCGTGCCTTCTCTGAAGTTTTTCTTCTATTTTTTTCCACACCAATTTTTCTTGTGTTCTGTTGACATTTGGTGCTGGCTGCAGACGCCGCAAATACTTTAGTTTTTTATTTCTATTGCTTCGACTTTTTTCTGCTTATTTTTTTTCTGTCTATATTTATTTTGGTTTAACGTGGAACGTAAATAAACAGGGAAGCACTTATTATATTTATTTTCGTTGGAGATAACCAAAAGAATTTGCCAGCTATTGGAATTTGATTTCAGCTCATCGCTTGATGATTCGCACAAGTGTTATATAATGTGCATTCATGAATCTTGAAAAGAAATTTAGTAAACATCCAATAGAGTTTTTAACTTTGTTAGCATTCGCTGATCATGATTGAGCTGAGTGAATGAACTATCGCCAAACTATCGCTTAATTGCCACGAGTTTGGTTTAATCAATGTTTATTTTTCGTTGTTTTCTGTCTTCGGCTGTACGGGCTATGCGTAGGCATCTAATTCCGCATCCAGAACACGCGCTGATACGGTATAAACAGACGCACAAGTAGGTGCCTAATCGCGACCTCTAGAACACTCAAGCTCTTAAATGGGGAGGCGAGCACAACGGCGCTTACATAAAGATGCTATCAAAATTGTTTATACGCTGTTCACGGTGTGAGGAGAGAGGGTATAGGGTTTACGAACTTAACCTTAGACTAGGTTATGGTTAGATATTGTATGACGATGTATGCACATATATAGATATAGAAACATTAGGAAAGGAAAAAGATATATCGTTTATAAATATTCTAAAGTTATGGATAAGGATATCGATATGTATAGAGGAATAAGAATAGAGACTGGGATGGATATGAATATGAATACATATATAGTAATGAAAGCATGCATAAAATATAGTTAAATAAAGACAGATATAGATAAAACATGTTGATAGTGATATAAAATCGATATATTTTTAAATACAGATATGAATATCGATATCTGTAAATGATCAGTATTCATATTTAATTTTGGAGGCGACTTTCGGTATTACACTAAGAATTTGAATGACTTATTCTTGTCAACTACTCCTGTTAGAGTATTAGACAGTCGGTTTACAGTTTTTATTTTTAATAAAAATAGTTTTTTTTTCGCCTCGCTTTATTTTAAGTGTCTGTGTCCGTTCTTGTTCTACGCTTTTCTTTTGATTTAGACTAATCCGTATTCCCTATTTGGGAGGCGACTAACTACGTCATTATTCTGTTGATCAACAACATTATTATCATGCGCATGCTCATCATCATCATTGTCATCAGCATCGTCATCAGCAACATCATCATCATGATGATTTATTTAAATTGAAACTGTGTCGAGTTGTTGAGTGAGTGTTTGGCTGCTGGGTCACGCGTTAGACTAGACTGATTCGCGTGTGTGTGTGTGTGTGAGTGTGTGTGTGCGTGTGTATGTGTCTGTGTGTTAGTCTAACAAGCACTCGTTATTCACTGAATGGTTATTCTAGAAAACTTTCGAATTCAAATTTTCAAGTGCATCGAATGTGGCTCAAGTGCAGCTGCTGCAGCTTGAGGCACGTCACGAGATGCTACGACAGTCACTTTTCGGCTCTCGGTTTTCAGTGTTCAGCTTTCAGTTTTGCGTATTTTTTTGGTGTTTGATTTTTTATTGCCACAGATCAAGTAATTAGCTTCTGCTCTAGTAAAACCTCAGCCGCTCCACTCAGCTGCTAAAATTTGTTGCATTGAGCACAGTAGTTTTTCCCTCTCGCTTTTCTGTTTTCTGTTTTTTGTTTTTAGGTCTACGACCTTGCACTTTACGTTAACAATTACGAAAAATAAAAAGATCATAAAAAACAAAAACACTTTGCTAATATTTACAAATGGGCACTTGGTGGGTTGTAGGTCCAACCCGTCCCAGCTCGGCCCGGCCCGCCCTGGCTCTGTGTGGGGCTCACTTGGCCAGCTCGCATTATCGTGTGCCATAATTTCACTTGTTAATTTATCGTTGTTGTTGTTATTTGTAATTTTTATATGTTTTTCGCTGCTTGGTTAGTTTTCCGCATAGTCCCTCGTCGTCGTCGTCGTCGTCGTCGTCGAGTAGCACTTGTGTGCCATAATTATAAGTCGCACTGTAGGGGGTCAGCTATAGATCCCCACTTGCCCATCCATTCGTCCCGCTAGCTAAGTGTTTGCATTGTTAATTAATTTGTCAACAGTGTGAGTGTGTGTGTGAGATAGTCTTTATATGGCAAGTATTTTATACAATATATATTTAGAAATATATATGTAGGTAGGTATAACTGCAGTAGATCGTGTCTCAAAGCTTTGTTAAGCCCTTAGCTGTTTTTGATTTTATTTATTTATTTATTTTTTTTATACTGTGTGAATTTTGAGTTGAAGCAGCTAACAGGGAAGGTAACGTTTTTATGGGGTATATATTCTCTTAATCAGACTAAGCGTTGAGTTAATCTATTTTTGCTCAACTATAAGTCTGTAAAATTTTCCTTTCGAGTGTGAAATAAAATTTTGGCTTCCAATTATCAATGTCATTCTATAAGCTATATCCAATTTCAACATATCTCGTATGTTTTAAGAGCTAGAGTCATCAAATTCGATATAGATTTTATACGAAAGTATACACATATAAAAAAATACTCTTATATCCAATGGTCCATTGACAACTGAAGCACATATAAATCCAGAGTAGTAGTACATGAAGGTATACTCTATTAATTAGATCATGTATTCCGTATTATAATTGCTTGTTGCAAAAAAACTACAATTTCCAAGAGTTTTTATTAGAATGTAGTTCTTATAAAATAATGTAAACTTTTAGCAAGAAAGCGTTTTCCATATGAATAGAGTTTTACTTAAATCCCTAGATCCGATAGTTTATCGACCTTGAAAGAATTTTTAATGTAAATTCTGGCACACTTCCACCAAAGCGTATTCAAACTCTGTATTGCTTTGCTTTACAAACGTGAACAATCGCGTTTGTTGTCGTTGGTCATTGTAAAATAAAATAAATATAGTATAAATTATCAATTGGTGCTTAAAAGTTATTGGAAAACCTAGAGTATTGTTTGCATAGAACTTGAGCAAGAGATAAGATACGTTTTGTTGTTGTTCCGGTTGATTTTTGGTATATACATCGTTGCTGGTAGAACAAGTGCAAAAACAGCTGAGCAATAGAAGATTCAGAAGCGTTTAACTACTTGGAATAGGTAGAACTAGATACATATATACAGTTATATGTGTATGTAGTCATGAAAAAGTCGTTGGAATAGTGCTATTTATATATCTGAAAACTCTCGTAGCCTGATAAATAATCTCGTATATATTGCCAGCTTAACTAGTTATACTAAATAAAAGCACAAATATATATATGTAAATATATACATATTGTAATTAAATCGTGTGAGCTGCTTATACCGGTTAACCGCTCCCCCGAGTATTGTCCATATAGTATAGATGGCATACTATATACACACATATATATATATTGTATAGTATTATGATTGTTGACTCTGAAGTTTTGTGTCGTGACGCGCATCCAAATCTCCGGGTTGATTGCAAATGGCGATAAGACGCGCGCATCTCGGATCTTGCGGTTCTGGGGCCTTGACTTTCAGTTAGGGTTAGGCCTCGTTAGGCTCAGTGCATTCAAAAGCAATGTTTGCCCCTGTTGCAGTTCGATGGGTCGTACGTCAATGCTACACCTTAATCAGTTGCAAAACTTTTCCGATGCTGATTAATAAGGCAAACAAAACCAAAAAAAAAAAAAAAAAAAAAAAGTAGAATAAAAAAAAAAAAAAAAAAAGAGTGCCTGTCAAAAAGGCCATTAAAATCTTTGCCCTAGCCTAGCAATTGTAGCACATAAATCAACTAATTCAGGCAGCCGAAAAAATAAGAGAGGAACAACTTTTATTAGACTCAATTGGAAGCTGTCAATTGGAAGAAATGAAATTTTGTCAGTTGTAGGGAGTGGCGCCAGTACAGTCTGCCTCTGCTAGTCTTGTGGCTTCAATTAACAGCAACTTTTGTATAATTTTCTTTTTTGGGGAGACGTTTGCACTTAGCACCAAGTTTTGACACCTCTTTGACAACTGCACAGATGCCCTAACTCAAATCGATATATACTAAATTTAACTCATCCTCATTCTATTTCTTCTCCTTGCTTTTGTAGTGCTGAAAGAGGAACCGGATGACTTGTCGCAACAGTTGGTTAACGGCGCGTCCGGCATTCACTTGGATGAGCCCTTTGGCGAGATTTTGGTGGGCTTGATGAACTCCTGCCTGCTGCCCGATGAGATTGGCTCGCTGGACTCGACCACCTGCTCGACGACGGGCAGTGTAACGCACTATCACAACAACAGCAACAGCAATAGCAGCAATAGCAGCAGCAATAACCCCAACAACAACAACAACAACAACAACAGCAGCAGCAACAACAGTAGCAACAGTTACAACAGCAATCGTCAGAGCTTAAACACAGCTGCAATTGTTGCGGGCGCTGCTACCAGCAGAAGCAACAGCCATCACAACAACAGCAGTAACAGCAACAGCAACAGCAGCAGCAACAGCAGCGGCAACAACAGCTGCAACGGCAGCAACAGCCAGCAGCAGGAAAATGGCAACAGCAACAGCAGCAACATTGATCCGCTGTTCAACTATCGCGATGAATCGAATGACACCAGCTGCTCGCAGCATCTGCACTCGCCTAAGGTAGGCAGCAACGGCAACACTTTCAAATCAACTCAATCTCTAACTCTCATATCATTTCCTTTACAGACGCCCGAGGACAGCAGTCTGCCGTCACTGTGCAGCCCGAACTCGCTGTCGCAGGAGGACGACTTCACGTTCGTTGACTTTGGCATGCGCGCTCCTTATATACCCATGGGCGATGATATGCCGCTGCTGACCGAGAGCGATCTCATGTGGTGTCCGGCGGATGATTTGCCGCCCATAGTGCCCAAGGATGTGGACAGCATGCAGCAGCACTTGCAGCAGTTGCACCAGCAACAGCAGCAGCAGCAATATAACAGCTACCAGCAACCGTTGCAACAGCAATCGCAGCAGCAGCAACATTTTTCCAGTTCGCTGTGCTCCTCGCCTGCCTCCACAGCGTCGTCGCTGTCGCCATCGCCCGTGCAGCAGCAACAGCATCAACAGCAGCAGCAGCAGCAGCAACAACAACAGCAACAACAGCAGCAGCAACACTCAAATGTCTACACCACCGGCTCCAGCGAGCTGGCAGCCTTGCTCTGCGGCACCGGCAATGGCACGCTCTCGATTTTGGGCAATGTCTCTGGCGAGGATCGGCTGCAGCAGAATGAGCAGGACTTGCGCAGTTTCCAGCAAATGCAGCCGGCGTTGCAGCTGGAGGAGGAGGAGCAACTCGAACGCGAGCAGCCGACATATTTCCAGCAGCAAATGTTGCTGAGCATTGGCAGGCAGTGCAAGAAGGAGAAGTTCGATGTCTCATTGTCCAGCAGCCTATGTACCTCGATAGAGGATGCATTTCACAACGATTACAGCAAAGATTGTAAGTATTATGGGGGATTGCAGACAGCAGGCAACGGCAACAGTCTCAAAGGCTAAAAATCATAAATCGAACTCATAAATATGTCCAAGGGATCACAATTATAGAGACGTGAGTCGAGTCGACTCGCATAGTTTTTCATGGCAGCCAAAAGAAAAAACACCTACGCGACGACAATAGACAGCCTGATGCCGGCTAATTATGTAGCTTTCCGATTTTTCCCTCAACGATTTGCCACGCACACGTACATTTCTCACACATTTGACAATTTCCAACATTTACTGCATTTGGAGAGGCCTAAATTGTGGCTATGCGTGTTTATTAATAGATCCAAAGCAGCGCTATGCTTGAGACACGTATACCTTAATATACATATATATGAATATATATATAAATATAGAAGAGTATATATATATATCCAGTTGATATTTGTATATATACATGTGCGTTTGTGTGTTTGTAAAAATAGATGAAAACATTGCCACAAATTTCCACATTTATTTGGCATTTAGTTGAATCTTTAAACAACTGCAGCGGGCATTTCGATTTCGAGAGACGATATGTAACGTTAGAGTCTATAGAACTCAGAGGATTTACCTTTTTATATACCTAATCTGTATAGTTTTGATTACATATCAAAATTAGCTTCAATAATTCTTAAATCAAATCCATATACTAGATAGACACACGACACTAAACTAAAACATTTGCTAAATCTTTCCGTCTTTTCTCACTCTCCCTCTCTCTATCTCTCCCTTCTCCCCTGCAAAGCTGACGAAAAAATGAACAGCGCATGGGGTGTGAGAGCTAATTGATGTCGAGCGCTCTTCAGGCCCAAATTGTTGCGACAATTACCAATAGCACTGGTTGGTTGCTGTTGTTGTTGTTGTTGTTGCGCTGGTATTTAGGAAATGCTGTGTAATTTTTTTAACACATGCCGATGGGCGGGCGGTATACGCCTCTTACCTTTGACACATGTCACACAGCGCCTCCTCACGAAGGTGGCTGTGATTGATTTGACTGGGTCTTGGGCCTGGCCCTGTCAGGGCAGACGCTAACTGTCGTTTGTTTAGATGATTTCTGCTTTTTGTTTTGGCATATAGACAGATGTCTGCGGAGTGTTTTTCCTTTTGTATTTTCCTATGTCTAGCATAGAGTGGCCATATCTTTGCATATCCAAATATATATATATAGAGATAAAAAAAAGATGGAGATATATATATATACCCTTTGCTTCGTGTCGTATAAGCATATATATTTCAATTTTTTGGCACACATGCAAGTTTTCACGAATAAAAAATAAAAATTTATAGAAGATTATTATTGTTTTAAATTAGCATCAATGTCATGGGCAAGAGGAATTAATTGCTCGTCTGTTTGCCAGCAGCCACAGCAGCAGCAGCAGATCGTACAATCATCCAATAAATTCCGGGTGAGAAAAGAAGATTAGATGACAATGTAGATGGATCTAGTAAATAGTGGATAATCAGCGAGAATGCCTAGTGACTAGTTTCTATATGAATATATATGTGAATATCTATATACTATGGATATGATATTTTAGATTATTACCAGAAGTATCTACGAAGTCTATGCTTTAGATTATATACAGATCTAGCTTCAATATATTTAGCTCTAATTAGAGATGTAGAACTATTGATATTGGGTGCCATCAATAATAGGTGATAGCCAATTGGAGCCTCCAATATATGTGTACAAATATATATAACAAGTATATGTTATATATGTATACAAGTATATGTAATAAAATAAAATGTAATCGATAATTATCGATTTTTTTTAAATATATGAGCAGGAATTTATGTCTAACTTCACTGAGTATATTTAGATATTTAAGAAAAGAAATACAATATTTATGGAGTTTTTTATCAAAAAATATGTTATGAGTAACTCATGTTATGAGGACTCAGCTATATATTACTAATGATTTGATGAGGACTGCCGCTGTCTGTATATACCTGTAAATACCCTATACAACCCTATGCCTCAACAGCTTTTATAGCTTGCTAAACATTCTAACTTTTTTCATTTGGTTGCAATTCTTTAGCCACCAATTTGGATTGCTGGAGCGATTTGTTGCAAATGAATGTGGCTGTGCCCAACAGCAGTCCCGCGGTTTCTCCAGCACCCAACAAAGTGGCAACGTTGCCGCTATTACAACAACAGCAGCAGCAGCAGCAGCAACAGTTGCCACAGCAACAGCAGCAGCAGCAGAATATCATATTGAATGCCGTGCCATTGATAACCATTCAAAACAATGCAACAATGTTGCAGCAGCAGCTGCAACAGCAGCAGCAATCGGAGGAGGAGTTGCAGGAGTTGATGCTGCCCAGCAAGCAGCCTGCCAAGAGGCTATTGAATGGCACCAAGGCAACCATACGCCTGGTGGAAAGCAAAATTACGCCAGCAACAAGGGCAACTCTGGTGCAAACGCTGTCGCCACAGCAACATCAGCAGCAGCAGCAGCAGCAGCAACAACATGGCAATAAGCGTCATTTGAATAGCCAATCAGCAGCTGGCAATGTTGTGGAGTCGAAGCGTCTGAAGAGCGGAACACTCACTCTGGAAGTGCAATCGCCACAGCTGCTGCAGCAGCTGATGGGCAAGGAGCAACAGCAACAGCAACAGCAGCAGCAGCAACAGCAGGCAAACAAGCGACACGCAAGCGAACGCTGGTCTACAGCAGCTGATGCCAAGCAACAGAAGCAACAGCAGCAACAGCAACAACATCATCAACAGCAGCAGCAGCAACAGTCGAATTCTGTGCTAAAGAATCTGTTGGTTAGCGGACGTGATGTAAGTGCCGGCTATTGCATTGTGCCGATGCGGCCCAAGAAGCAGCTGGCGAAGGTCTAGAGCTGGATGCGTGCCACAGCCACAAACTGAAAGATTGTGTGTGTGTGTTAGTGTACAATTCGAACGGACAAGCCCATTTCTACAATTTGTAAATGGAACGATTTTATAGACAAGAATAACAAAGAAACCCTCCCGCGATACTACCCTACCCATCAGTAATCATCCAAAACTTACGTCCCCCCGCCCTGCCCTGCCCCACCCCCGAACCCCACCAACTTAACCAGAACCCAAAGCAGAGCGAGCGAACGCACCGAATGTTGCATGCAACGTGCAGCAGTTGGCGTGCGTCAGAGCTCAGCTATAGTCGTAAATAAATGCTTATATATATATATATTAATTTATATATATATGTATCTGTATATCAAAATATATGTATACATATAGTCTAGCTATAGTCATAGTGTCTACCTTATAGAGTTATTGCTTAATGTTTAGTCTAGTTTAAGCAGCAGCAGCAGCCGCAGCCGTGTGGACTTTAAATTTATATATATACATATGTATGTGTGTATATATATATATACACATTTTAGTAGACTATTTAAAATAGTCATTTTTAATGCATCATTGAACTAATTGATAAGCTTCAGTTTTAATATCCCCTCCATATATATATATTTATATATATGCATATGCATATATATATATTTGCCCGATTTTATTTAGATACCCCTTTTATTTTAATTTGCTTTATTTGTTGATTTCATTTTAAGGCCATGTTGTTATATATATTTTGTTGTGCATATTAGATATATGCTATATATATTTTTATTGTACATACACATATACACACACAGACATACATTTACATTTACATATACATAATAATAATGCTAGCGCCTATTTTTTGCATAAGTCGAAGCGTTTTGGGCTACAGTGACTACCAGCAGCATCACAACACCAACAAATAGTAAAAATTTTGAACAAAAAAAATAATAAAAACAAAAAACCTCAATATTTGCAATTTAAAAAAAAAAAAAAATATATATATATATATACAAAAAAAAAGAAGATATGTGGCATAAATTAAATTGATTTTGTTTTGTTTTTCTCTTAGTCCCATCATTTGTTTACTGTGATAGCCATATTGCGTTTGTTATTTTTTGTTCTCCTTTTTTTTTTTTTTTAAATATTATTAAATAATATTTCGATTTGAAATTTGTTAAATGTGTAAGCATTTTTTGACTGAGAGGCTGCAGAAGCAGAGCCAGCGCCAGCTTTAAATAGAGCGAAAAATAATTGTTAAAAATAGTGAAGAAAACTCAAGGAAAATTGGGAAAGTTTATGTCGTCAGCGTTTTGATTCGAATTCAGTTTTTTACTTCAAATCACTTTATATATTAGAAAACGCAAGTAAAGTGCTACGAGTGGCATATACCCTGTAAATTGTAAACATTGTGAAAATGATGTAGCAAAAAGAATTGAAATTCGAGCGCTGGATGGTACAAAGAAAAACAAGAATTAATTAAAACTAAATTAAAACTATTAAATTAACTAGCTTAAATTAATTAAATTAATATGCGAAAAAGTAAAATCAGGCTGTAGGCAGATTTATTTAGTTATAGGTCCTAACTAAACATATACCCCTTTAACTAAGCATCTAGAGCAAAGAAAACTATTAGCAATTAAATATGAAGGAAATTTAGAGTCTTAAGGCATTTCCTAGTGCAGCGTAGCTCAGCAAAGCAATCCACTAGAGTTATGTTCCAAGTTTCCATTTCGTTCAGTAAACACCAAATATCGGATATATAGCAAAATTTTCGGTGCGAAAAATAAATGAAAAAATTGACTGGTTTAATTTTAAAAATTTAGAAAATTTTTGAAAGAAAGAAATCGAAATCGGGAATAAGGCTAACTCTTTATACGGAGTTTGAGTTTTTGGTCAGTACATTTTGAGCCTAGATCATGTTTTGGAGAGCAGAAAATCATTTCCAAAAGATTTGAATTGACAGAGAGAATTCTTAGCGCTGCAATCGCTATAAGCACTAGCCTTGTCATTTGGTTATATCACTTAACTCTCGCGCATTACAACATGGTCTAGTCTCAACAAATAAACCAAACAAAGACATAGCACAATTTCACGCATCTAATTTAATTATTTCTTTAAGTTTTAAGGCACTTTTTAGATTAAAAGTAAAAAAAAAAAAAAAAAAAAAAAAAAAAAGAAAACCGAAAAACAGTTACTTGATTCTTTTGTTTATTTTATTTTTGGTTTCGTTAATTGTCTTTCATTTATTTTGGCTTTTTAAAGTGTTGATTTAAAAGGCTTTATTGATTTTTCATAAATACTGACCACACGCTGACCCACTTGGCTCTGGAGTGGTTCGGTGGCTCATTGTGTGGTGCGCGGTGCGCGGTGCGTGCCCAACATATTATTCATTGTGACTTTAATTAAGCTTTCTTTTCCGTATGTGTCGCGTGCCAGCCCACCATTTGAGTGAGTGTGCGAGTGTATGTCTGTGTGTGTGGGTGTGCATTGATAACAAGCCCAACCAAAGCCGCTGGCAGCCTTCAAATTGTAATCATAAATATCCTAGACGACAACAGTTTACACGCAAAGTTTTTATTGAGCTGAACCGAACTGCGTATTATTTCAATTTCGATACAAAAGAAAATAAAAGCAGCTCCAGCAAATAGAAACGACTTGAGAATACTCTGTTTAGCCTTGTCTAAGACGGTTCTAGACTGAAGTCTAAGCAACCGAATATACCCCCAATGCCTCAAGGCTCAGTGTATACGGCCAAACATTCTTCAGTTTTAAGTAAAAAGAAAAGAAATGACGGCGCGTGTTTCTGCCCCCAAGTCTAAGTTGTGGGCGTGGCCATTGACACCTACCTACCTGTTCCCATTGAGTTTCGATTACATATTCGAAAAATTAACATATTTTATTGGCTGGGGGCCTCAAGACGCCAGCAGATGCCTGCGTATTGATTTTACACCTCCTGGTGCCAGGGCCAATAGGCATTTGCCCACTGTGCCTATTTGTGTCTATCTTTTAACGGCAGTTTAGGCCCTAGTCCTTTTACTTTGTTTCCGCTTTTGGTCTATCCTTTGCGCCTTTTCACATTCACATTCACTTTCACTTTCACTTTTGTTCTTTGGCCAGAGCGCAAAGCACAGCTGATGTGCTCTCACTTTGACTGTGGCTTTCTGACTCAGTTCGCTCTCTCTCACTCACTCACTCTGTACCACTCTCGGAGAGTGTTGCTATTTCCCTATATTTGCTCTCCCGCTGCTGCTTTTAGCCTAACATAGCCCTGGTTTTATGGCCAACACGAGCAGCGCTCATTTCGTAGGCCCACTTTGTACTCCCACGCCTGCAGCTGGCCCTCGCTGTTGTCTCTTTGTTTTAGCTGTCCTCTTCCTGTCAACGTCAACGACTGCTGCAACATATTTTGGCCCGGCTGTTACCAAATTTGCATTGTATGCGCGTGTGTGTGTGTGGGCGTATGGCACTTAGCTATGTTGTCTGTAATATACTGTTGCCTACTTTTGTGCGCAGAATAAAATTATTTTTATTTTCATTTGGTTCAATTTCATTCATGCTTTATTTACAAAAAGCTTTTTATAGCAGCTAGAAATATGTGGAAACTCAAATGTTTTCCCATGTCATAACTAAACCGAAGCTACCTCGCGTATACGGCCGTCAAAGAACCGTAACTACCTCCCAGGCCGAAACTGTCAACGATAGAGAAATTGAAAAAAAAAGACAAACAAAACAATAACAACAGCAACAACAAAACGTGTTTTCAGCTTGATAAATGCTGCATAGGAAATTTAACTGTTAGTTAAGTAAAATAAAATAAAATAAAATCGACTAAATCGATAGCAAAATTACGAAAATTGATAAGCAATCCCTAACAAAAATTTACTAAAGAATTAGATAAAAGTAAATTCTATATAGGATAGTGTGTTAGACGTAGATCTTAAGTGAACTAACTATTAATCGTAACTAGACAAATACCAGGACAATTAAAAGAGTATTTCCTTGATAATCATTTAGAATGTCAGAGATCCCAACTGATTGCAAAATGGTGCAAGTTGAAAATATTAAATAATTATAGCCCGAAAAGACTGCGAGCCAAGAACTCTCAAAATTATTATTATATATATAAATATATATGTTTATAAATATATAAATATACACAAAACGAAACCGAAAGATAGCCTATAATACTCCAACTACAATACATAGTTCTACAAAACGAATCGCTTGTACATAGGGTGAGAATGAGTGGAGAGCAAAGCAAACACCAGGCATACTTTTTGCAATAGCTATATGCCTAGCAGAAATAGAATGATGAGATACTCTTAAATATTAATCGATGTGGCTTTAACTAAACTATATTTAAGCACAGACAAAATACGACTAAACCTCATATAAGTAAATCCTCATGATCAAGTCAAATTTGTTTAGCATTAATATACATATAGACATATATATACTACATATATATATATAGCGACTACTCATAAACATATGCTGCATATATACATTCATACATACTTACCTACATACTTGCATAGCTATATACAAATCTATTCATATAAGATTTAGTTGAAATTTTTTCGCGTTACGTATGAGAGAGTGAACGGAAATGGGAATGGAACGATGTAGTGCGGGGAAGTAACGATATAGCTTTATCGAAACGGAGTGCAATCCGAATGATCGTCACTTGGAGCGAGTGCACATCGAGCGATAGCAAATTGTAACGAGTGCTGCGAGTCGATGTTGTATTATGTTGAACTGGTAACAACTCTAGTGAAACACAATTTGTAAGAAAAAATGGTAAAGAGTTGAGCCATGCTGCGATCAACTGCAGTGAATAGAAAAAGTTGTAACTAGAACTATCGAGCGAGTGGAAATGTAACGAGTAAATTGAAAAACGAGTAGAGTAAAGTTCAATGTAGTTCAAATGTAACGAGTACAATCTTAGACGAACG